ATAAGCTATTTGTATTTGGCACCCCAAACAGCCCCAATATATATTTCTTTAGTTCGATCTACATTATGGAGTAACCTTAGAATGTAGCAAGTTGAGTGAAGTAGTACTGTGTAGTTCGCAGATCTCACTAATTAGCTTTAAACTTGAAAAGGAATAAAGTTTCACTAGCAAATGTTATCATTCAAAAAATTCATAGTGATGTGAGATCTTGATTGATGAGATTGAAAAGGTCTAAAAGCGGATTTTCTCAACGAGATCATAAGTTGTATGTTGCATTAAATCCTGTCCAGGTCTCTATTCACAGAGAATTTTACGATCGAGTCAAGTCTTTAATTCTCCACTGCTACGGGGAATTTGAAAATCCAGTTTCTTAGAAATGTTCTTCTGGAAATTCCTTATCAGCCCACAAATTGAAACACTCTCATTATCCTATTCTTGGAAAGAGGAATTATAATCCGTTCAAAAAATGGCTATGCAACGGATTAGCATAAGGAAATTAACGTGGAAGTAAAACATCACCTCAACATGAGAAGAGACGAGTTCGCCATTCTTGTAGTGCTCCTCGCGGCGTTCGACGTGAACGGTGCTCGTCACGTTGCTGTCCATTTGGATGGGTGTGTATTCGAATTCCTGATATCTAAGGACGGGAATGTCTTCGGACGCCTCCTGCGTTGAATGACTGTGCTGAAATTCGATAAGGCGCTCTTTCTGCGTGTTTTTTTTCCTTCACCCTTTCTCTGCTGTACGTGGGTGGGGGTACGATGGACTCATACTGTCTACTATAACACTATGCGACTATAATGCAATATTTCCTTTAGAAAAAAGGTGTTTGCAGCACAAACCTCGTGAAGGGAGGTGTGGGAGTCGAAGCCGAATCGAATGACTTTGAGGGACGTCACCTCACGTCCAACAGTCGATTCGTCTTCGACGCGATCGAGATGGCTCGAATTTTCCGATGAGGTAATTGACTGCAAAACACTATCGGTATTCACTTGGCACTAACTTAAAGCTTGGCAAGCTTCTGATGAGAGGTTACGTGCACAAAATTATCGCAGAGGTTTGCGATGCAAAACGCCATCGGAACGATAAGAGTTATCACTGCCGTCTCTACGTAGAAAGAAAA